GTACATCAGCACTAAAATGTCAAAACAATAAGGAAAAGAAAAAAAAAAAAGAAATGTAAAAGGGCATAGTAAAAAGGGGGAAAACCCCCTGATTTATTTGGAGAGAGAAGGAGAGAAAAAGAAAAGTCTCCTGCATGTGATCTGTTCCAGTCTAATACTCAGCTTTAACTGCCTGCAGAAATCTAAAGGTTTTATTTGTAGTCACCAAAGTCAGATAACAGTCTCCTATGCTAATTTACAGCTTCTTAGAATATCACAGGATTGTTAGGGTTGGAAGGGACCTCTGGAGATTATCTAGTCCAATCCCCAGCCAAGGCAGGGCCACCTAGGGCAGGTTACACAGCAACACATCCAGAAATTCTCCCTTGTGTTGAGGTGAAACTCCTTGTGTTTTAGTTTATGGCCACTGCTCCTTGTCTTGTCACTGAGCACCACTGGAAAGAGTCTGGCACCATCCTCCTGGAAACTGCTCTTGGGATGTACGCATTAGTGACATCCCTTCTCAGTCTCCTCTTTTCTAAACAGGCCCAGCTCCTGCAATCTCTCCTCATAAGAGAGATGCTCCAGACCCCTGATTGTCTTTGTTTGGAGCAACCAGACTGAAACTATCAAACACTGTTACTGTACTGCAGGGAATACATGCCCATTTGTTCTTTTAGTTTATTTAAAATTAAGAGAAAACTAGACACAGTCAAGAATCTGGTTTCTGGCAGTTGGACAGGGCAATATGGAAATTGCTCCATGCAGGCTCCATGTGGCTGGGGGCCGGTTCCAAAGCTCACACAACTTGGCAAAACGACCAAGTGTGCTACAGAAACACATGACCCATTACCTGTGCTAAAAAGGTAGAAGTGAAAAGAAACACCCTCCTGGCACCTCTTCCTCCCTGCTGTGGTGTGCTGATGCTGCATGAGGAAAAGTGGCAGATTTGGGGCAAGCAAATGGGAGCACAGGAGACAGATCACATAGGAACATGTTCAAATCTATGCTGAATTTTGTCAGTGTATTTGTCATAATTCTAAAGAAGGTGAAGATTTATTTAGAAAGATGAAGAAAACAATTGCTATTACTTCAATTATTATTCTGTTGTGACAGGTATATGCTGAGTTTTTGTACACGACATCATATCCTATGTTGCCCATCCCTGCTCTGAGGCAGCAGGGAATTCAAAGTATTTCTGGTGAGTTTTCATGGTCTTATGCTATGGAAGTCAAAAACTACAGATGTGATTAATTTATACAGCCTTCTAGATCCACTGAGGTGCTAAGAACATCAGAATGGGGAATCAGTGCAGACAATGCACCCACGCCACAGCAGGAGGCATTCAGGATTATGAAGCACACTGGTGGCGAAAGTGCTGGGGGGCCTAGACTGGCTGGCATTTTAACTTGGGGGCTAAACATTTAAGTTATGGTTAGTTGTGATTTTGGTTGTGGCTAGCTATCCATAACGGTTTTAGATACACACAGTAAGAAATGAGGTACTACAGCTCTAATGCTTGCTGGTCCTCGGGTGTCTATTTTCTCCTAAACTCTGTACAGAATTATCATGTTGCCCACACCCAAAAGCATGGAGCACAATTTATTGTCCATGTAGGACACAACCACACTGAGGCGCTTCCTTTAGTAAAACAACATAAAACACCCCCTCTCGCACTGAGCTGCAGACTAACTTACTCACTGCTTGCTTTCCAAGGGACCTTCAAAAGGTATTACAGTCAGCCATCAGTAAGCAAAATAGGCCTAAACATTTTAAAAGCTCGTTACACAAATGCATAATGTCACTGCCTTGGATTATAGCCCAAGGGCACCGAGGAATGACTTCCATTCGGAAACCCATTTAGCACTAAACGTCAATGAAGAACTGCAGAAGGGAACGGCTGTCAAGAGCCACTTTGGCTTTGTGCTCACAAGAAACGACACACGGACGCGAAGTGAAGCGCCCGGCGTCCGCAGACCGCTGCGGAACGCCGCATCCGAAGGTGCGTGAGCCGGGGCCTCCGCCGCAAGGGCTGCACTCCCCGGACCCGGGTGTACCCCAGTCCCCTGGACCCGCCGCCTGCTCTACTCGGGGCCGCCGTCTCCAGCCGCCCCTGTCCCGCAGGGCCCATGGTGGCCCGCTCCGCCTGCCGTGGGGCTCCCAGGAGCAGCCGCCGCGGCGGTCACGGGCAGGCGGCAGCGGGTTGGCTGCCCGGAGGAAACGCGCCGTCCAGCCCAAAGAGGCTCTACGTGGCCACCTCCCGGCAGCGGCATCCCACAAAGCTGCCTCAGGGCCCCGCTCGCTCCCGCTGCTTCCCTCCGCACTCACGGGCGGGCAGCCTCGCCCCAGGGCATCGCTACCCTCCTCTCAGGGCCGCCAGCCCTCCTCTCCCCTCCCCTCCCCTCCCCGCTGCGGTGGGCTGCGCCACGGCTCGGCCGCGCCCCACAGCCTCCCAGGCCCACGGTGTCCGCGGGGGGGCGCTGCGGTGGCGGCGGGCGCGGCCGCTTCCCTGGCGGGGCGGGGCGGGGCAGGGCAGGGCAGGGCACGGAAGGGCGAGGCGCTCGCAGGCGGTGGGGAGTCGAGTGGAGGCGACGTCAGCCCCTGGGCGCGGAGAGAACAGCTACCTGTGGCATGGGAGAAGTGAGTATTGTCTTTTCTCCGTCTTGTTCGCGGGGTTGTGCCCCAACTTGCTCTCAGCTGCCGCTCGCGGGTCCCCCGACCCCTCCTAGCCTGGGAGGGCGGCTGGAGCACTGAGTAAAAGTAGGTGATGTGTTCGATTGAATCCCTTTTTTCTATTGCTTTTCTCATCCCCGTCGCCGCATCGTTGTGTGGCACCTGTTTGGTTTGGTTTGTTTGCTTGGGTTGGTTGGTTGCTTGTTTTAAAAGTGGCATTAGATGCTGGGTAGCTGCTTTGCCGGCAAGCCCCAGGTTCTCCTGGTATCCAGCTTGTTCAGTTCCCCCCATACACCCACCCAGGAAAAAATAATCTCTCTCCAAGCTGCGTCCGAGGTCCCACTTGGTATCTCTGAGGCAACAAAGCAAACGAGTTCTTAATTTGCTGTGAAAGAGAGTCTGCAGCTGCGGAGGTGGAGCAGGTTGAGATCTAGATGGGAGTTTTTCCCCTGTGCCATCGGGTCTCCGTGGTTGCAAAGCAGGGGTGACCACATCTGTAGGAAAGATGGAAGAAGCTCACAGAGGAGAGCGCAACAGGAAGAACAGCGTGTGCTCATCTCGGGCAACCTTAATTCCCGGGTTTCTGTGTAGAAAATAAAAGCATGACACATTAATCGTTCTTAGGTGCTTGGTTACAGTAACTCTAAGCTTCTCACATCGCATCTTGTACTCTGGGTAGAGCAGAGTTATTTGCTTTATCCAGATTGTTTTGTTGTGACTTTTATACAAAGAATAGTAATTTAGAAAAACACACTTTGTGCTTTCCACGTGAATGGTACTGCTTCAACCTCATAAAAACCTTGGTAGGAAAACGAATTATGGGAGCAATCCTTCATACAAAATTACGTGGTTGCTTTATGAAAAGTGGGAAGGTTTCAGAAAACTTAATTTCATTACACTTTTCCCCTACTTGTGTAAAGTCTGATTTTGCTGTTTCACTTGAGGACTCCAATCTATGTAATGTTTCTTTGTTACCCAAACATCTCTTTGTTTCTGGAGTATATTAGTTTGAGTAGGGTGCAAAAAAGCAAAATTAAGTAGTGGAAGGTAAAATTTGGTATCTTTTTTTTTTTTCCCAGCTGAACTTGTTTTAGAGCAAATCTGTGTGTGGGAGTTAGCAACAACAACAAAACCAAAACAAAACCCACCCCATGATAAAATTCCTTGGTATTTTGTAGGATGAATTACTGTGATGACATATCTACCATTTAATGCACAGTACCACACAAGTATTGAGATGTGAATTTTCATATGGGGTGAAAGCAGTTCTGACGCTGTCATTTGCCTGTCACTATTGTGTGTGTGCGTGTGGGGAAATGTCTTCTAGCTTCTCAGTGGCTTGAAAATCTACTTTTTATTAGAATCTGATTGGTTCCTGTGGTGTTGTTGTTTGCCAAATGGAACTGTTGCAGGCAATTAGGAAGAACCCAATCTGTGTGTTGGCTCTGATCTCTGCAAGAAACACAGCGGCTCCTTGGCCAGTCCTGATGGAAAAGGGTGTGTCAGGATGGGAAGCAGAGCTCTGCTGTGTGCCTCACACACTGAGGGGCAGGGCGGTCGGAGGGCTGCGCAGGCTGCTGCAAGATATGCCAAGGGCTAGGTTGGCTATAGGCCAGTCCAAGGGGTTTAATGTCATCTTCACCCGCACTCCAACCCCATCACCTGTCATGGTTAAGGATTCAAGAGGACATTTTCATCTAGGACCTTGTTTTTTATTTATTTCTGGCACACACACACACATACATATTAAATACTGTGTTTTTTAAGTGGTCTTCTAAAAATTTATTTACCTGAAGTTTTTACCAAGACAGATTTGATGAAAATGTAAGATTTGGATAAATCTTAGGCGTTCACTGATACTTTCATATTATTTGTAAGAGACACAAAAGCAAACATTGCCCCTTTCATGTTTAAAAAAAATATCCAGTGTTTGCAGCTGAAACTCAACAGAGAAATGGAAAGGAGTGAAGCAGGTTGTTGATATTTAAAATTAGACACATTAAAATAAATGCAAAGTCAGATAAATAGTATGAGACATGAACAAATTCCTGGGCTTTTACACAGATTCTGTTAATCTGAGTTGTTATTACCAGCAAAACAGTATTGATATGGACAGTTTTTACCTTCAATACTTTATTTAGAACTCATTTCTTTTGTTTGAGGCAAAGATGAAGCTTTGATGCAATGCTGAAAAGATAGACTTTGTTTTTCTTCGTGTAAGCAAATCTAATTTATTAATACGTACGTGTTAAGCAGTGATAGCATGTAGAAGATGTTCCACCTTATTCAGGTCCAAGAAACAAACTATCCCAGGACCAATCCTTTAGGCGCATATGTCCTCATTTAATTTTTTTATAAGGACACTAAGTTGGATGCCTTCTGCAGCACGTCCTTCGGGACTGCGTGTGTGCGTGCAGTCCAGAACACATGGAGAGAAAGCTGGTGTAATTTAATCTTCAGAAAGATTCTTCCCTCCTGTTGAAATAAATACATCCTCATCCTGGGCTGAGTTTACAATTTATCAATAGTAATCACAGATGTCATGCTCCTTAGAGAGAGTTGAGTCATTCTCAACATTGAGTGGTTGTGCTGGTTGAAGCACTTGTGTCCAAAGCCCATTGATCTGTTGCCAGGGAAGTTTCTCATTAATTGTCTTGTTCCTCTTGTTAAGGTTTTTGTCACTGTTAACTGGTTGTTTTCCAGATAGGAGATAAACCCTTTCTCACATTTCTAAATACAGGTTGCATTTTCCCATGCAGTGTCATAGATTCAGTATAAATAGGTTTTTTTACAGTCTTGGAAAAAATTCAGTAGGAAAGCAGAAGTTTAAAAGAAAAATTAAATTATCCTGCATGCAGTTGCTGCATTCTGGAAAAGAGAAAAACAAAACCCACAACATAATTTGAATATATTTTCACATGTGAGCAGGAAGTTCAACAGAGTTATTTCCATAGGAGTTCTGTTAAGTTCTGTGTCGAGTTTGGACTCTTTGTTTGGAAGTCATGCTATAAAATTTTCTTGTCTTGAGTTCAACAAAGTTAAGTGAGGGGAAAATAACAACAATGCTCCAGCAAGCCTCTGGGAGCATGCATTTTCATGACAGATATTAAATGAGAGTTCCACCTCCAGCTCCATGTTTAGTTGATCCTCTTGTGTTAGTTACAGTTGACAAGATTATTAATGTATAGATCCAATTTATTTTTTTCAGACTGAAATGGTATTTTTCTCAAGTGATGCATTTGCAGAATCGTTATCCAGTGTTATCCTGAACTTTTGGATGTGAAATTCTTGTTTAAAAAAAGTAATATCTTAGGGTGGCCCAAGTAGCCAAAAAACATAAGGTGTCCCTCTGCACCCTTGCAGTGTTACCTGCTTCTGCAGATGGGCTGGAGCATGTATTCTCTAGTAGCTGTTCCTGCATCTGTAGGCTAGCAGTGCTGGGGTGCCATAGGGACTGGTACTATGCCCATGGTACTTGCCAGGGTGTAGAGTGCTGATGGTGTTTGTGCTTGACCCAAAGCAGCAGCAGGCAGGCTGTCTCTAGTTTTTATCAGTCTTGTGAGAACTCCTGAGAGACCACCAAGTCTTGCTGCCTGAGTTCCTGGAAAAAGCTGGGCAAGCCCTTTGCATCTGGCTCACTGGCTTTGTGTCTGGACTACTATGATTTACTGTACAGATCATCCTGATAGGAAAATGAGTAAATACAGTGAAAAGATACTGTAGAAGAAAGATAACCAAATAACATACACAGTCTTGAAACTCACATTGATCTTACGTTGAAGTGCATATAACTTAACTTTTATAGATACCCATTTACTTTGCTACAGTGTTGCTGAAAATGGTTGTTTTTTTCCTTGTGCCTTAAGTATGCGATTTTAAATACTTCTGTGCTCATTAATATATCTCTAGGTTTCCTGAATGTATAATACACATCTTAGAATATTTACAACATGCCTGAGAAGTGTTTTGCCCAAATATTTTTACTCTGCATAAATAATTTCTAAATCACTGGATAAGCTATTTGCATAAAGGCTGCATGCCCTTCCTACTGCATTTGCTGCATTTCTTGTAATTCTGTTAGTAATTCTCGACTGTTTCACACCTCATCCTTCTTACCATAGCCACCCTTGTGTCTCCTCTCTTCCCTTCTTTTATTCTGCTGCCTCCACCCCTGGTGGCCATGGCACTCCAGGGCTAGACGCGGTTGTGCAGTTCTCATGCTGGCAGTCTAACTGCATGTGTAGAGGAACTGTTTGATACTTGAAGGGACAGCAGGCAGGAAGGAGCTTTTTGCTTCTGGTACCCAAATGCTTAGTTAATGTGTGTATGCTTCTTGGCCATCTGGCTTGATCAACAGGCACTCAAATTCTTTGTAATAGTGAGAAACGTGCCTCCTGAGCAGCTAGTTAGCCAGTGACGAAGTGTTTGTTTTGGAGGTCTGCCTCTTAGTAGGAAATGAAGCTTCTTTGCCCTAAATCCATCAGTGGCTTCTGTGGTACCTGCTGCTTGGGTGCTGCATGTTTTCTTGGCATTGACATTGTGGTTGGCTAGCAAGTGGTGTTTTTCTGTGCTGTTCAGCCCTTGTATCTTGATCCTGATTCTATCTGGAAACACTTCTCATGCAGCAAGGTTTATATTCAAGCAGAAAACCTCAGAGGAATTGAAATAAAGTTAGCGATTTGAAGGTACACCATACCTTTAGTTTTTAACACGTATAGCCAGATTAATTGGTACAGAGGTAGCTACACACTGTGTAGCTACAACGTGTTTGAAAAACAACCTTCTGGTTTGCTGCAAGTGCTGCTGCATTTATTTATCTGGCACACAGCTGGTTTAATTTTTTTATTCCCACCCCAAGATGGGGGGGGGGGGGGCGTTGCTGGGGGAAGGGGAAGGTCATTATTTAGGAGCTGAGATTACTGAATTACTGGGAAGAGTACTTGTAGTCTTGGTTGTCTTTAAATACATACAGCACAACTAAGGCAAGAGGAAGGAGAGAGTGGGGCTTTAAAAACAGTCACAGGGAGGTGATGCTTACTGAGGAAAATTGTATGTGGAGGCACTGCTTAGGTAAACATATCGATAGGAGGAGCAGTGGGGATGGAGGAACTTCATATTTGGAGTCATCTCTTGTTAAGGGTGCCACGAAGGTGCTGCCTGCCGTACCAACACATCAAAACCTGAAAGATCTTTATTTAAAACAGAGACCCGAGGTTCAGCACAGAGGGACCTTGTAGGAGGGTAGGAGAGAGATTTTCATGGTGTAATCTGTTTTTCTCTTCTATCCCTGTAAAAAATTCCTTTCATGTTACACTGCTTGGGACTTGGACTCCAGGTTTCATGCAGAGCAGTGGTGGTGATGGTTTGTGTTGAGCTTCAGCTGATTTCGCAGTGTGTCTTAAGAGGCCTCTGTCTGCAGTCAGTCCTGTCACTGTTGGGTTCAAAATTCTTTATCAAGACAGCCTGTGTTTCTTCTGTAGCCTGTGCATGAGATTTCAAAGGACTTATCTATAGCTAATAGTGGACCATTGTGTTAGAAAATTTTGAGCTATATACTTTATATTACATTTCCAAAGAAAAATATGTTAATTAATTTACATTTAGATTCAATAATAGATCCTAATTCTCGGAAGCTTGTTTTTCTGTTTCCAGGCTGATGTATCTTTAGGAAGGATTTACTATATTTTCCTATATTAAGGAGTATATAGCTCTTTTTGCAAACAGAGATCTCTACTTGCTCTGATGTTATTAATTTTATTAATAACATGATCCTCAGTTTTATGTAGGAAAAGATATTTCAAAATTAAAACGATGCCTTGGAAAACTTTTGAAGAATATATAAGTAAGTAAAAACAGTGAGAATTATTATGTTTTTTTTACCTCTGTAATCTTAAAGACTCAAGTATGTCCTTCAAGTGATGTATCAACTTGCAGATTGTCATGGAGAAGATGCAATTTAAAGCTTTCAGGGTGTAGATACTTGTGGTTAATACTTAATGATGTTTCATGTTTAATGATATTTTGTAGCAGTTTCCGTGGCTTAAAAAGATTTTGTTAATTAGATTTAATAAATTGAATGAAAGAAAAGTCCATTTGTTTGGAGCACCAAATAGCCATGATCGCCTACTTAGTCTTTCTTTCTTTCACTCTCCTTCTGTCTCCCAATCCCTGGGGGCATATTTTATTTTCATCTTGCTGCATCTTTGTCCTTTTACTGAATTCAAGCAGAGTTCTTTCCTTCCATGTAGTGATGATGTTCTACTTCATGGATGATGGAAAGGAATAAAATAATGACTTCCAGAGGCTTTGTTGCACTAAGTAAATAGAGATTGGGTTTGTGATAATCTACACTTATGAGCGAAAGTATGTGTGTTTATTTCATTTCTAAATAATCACAGTGTTTTTCTCGTTAGGGATAAGACGCATACTGTTTTTTAGAAAACATGTGCACCAGTATATCTGCGATGGTAATTTAGAGAAGTCCAAAAGCATAAAATGGACTGTGGTGAGGCACTAGGAAACTGTTTCTTGTTTCTAGAAAGTTGATTCAGCTCTTGACAAAACCTTCAGACACTCATTTTCCAAGAAGTTTTATCTGTTGTGAAAAGAGTACAGGAATTATCATAGCCTTGTGCTTTTCCATCTTTCTGCTTTGTGGATTCCAGAAGTTTTCCAGAGCCTTTCAGAAATACTGCTCTTCTACATTGCTGTAAATGATGCCTTTCCCGTTGCATAATGCTTTACTTTTTGTGGATTTCTTTGAGTTGGACACAGGGCCAAATGGACCATGGTCACACAAGATTCAAACAATCGCCTAAGAATGTAAAGGCATGCAGAGGGTGAGAGTGTTTCTATTAATCTAAAAAATGGGTTTGACGACTCTAAAATGACAAATTACAGGAATTACTTTAAAATAGTACTGCATGGATATGCTGAACAATTATCTCATCATTTTGCTGAGGGACATAGATACAGAATTAGGGTGTTCTGCACTGAAGCCAAAGTACGTCTGTCCTAGAAGTGAATCTTGAGTTTTTATAAGCATTTTTTAGGGTTTTTGTTTTGTGTGAGGATTTAGGGTGGTTTGTGTGGGTGTGTTGCTGGTTAGTTGGTTGATTTTCTACAGCTTCCATGCCACAGCTTTCAGTGTAAGAAAAAAGTAATAAGATTTCAAATTCCTGGGGGAATGATGACTGGTTTTCGGTTTTAGAGAAGTGGTTGACGGTGTGGCAGCTGTTCACAGAGGCAGATAAAACAGAAGGCAAATAGCGTCAAACATAATCATCAGAACAGCAATTCCCATTCTTTTAAGCAAATGCAATCATTTGCCAACACAGGTGTATTTTGTGTTTAAGAGCACTGATATATTTTTCTGTTTCTCAGGCTTTTGCATTGTTAAAACATTTCTGTTAAAACTCTAGAAGCTGAACAAGGGTACTTGACAAGGATGCTAGTTGCTGCTCCATTTGTGTTTGTTGTTTACAAGGGTTCTAGTTCAGTTCAAATGGAAATAATAAAGAATGATCCTTTAAGGTTTTCTGTTTATAATCTGCCCCTGGTCAGTCAGATTGAGGACAGGGTTCCTTGCATCTTTGGACAAATGTGTCAGTGACTGTAGCTTGGTACTTTGTAAGTAATTTAAGAAATGTACATTTGTTTACCAGCAAATGAGCTACTTGCAAAATCTGTAGCCCTTTTTCATGGTTTGCATTATGGTGATGTGTCTCATAGGTATCTTTTAGGGGCAGATGAGTGTTTAATGATTGAAGAAGTCTCTGGTAACTGATTTTCTAAAAGTGGTATTGTTTCAGTGCCATTTTTCTAGTTTCTCACGCAGGGTGAATTTTATGGTTCTTTTCTAAATATTA